TAAACAAATGAATTTATTACTATTAAATAAATAGGAAAATTAAAATATTTTACAATTTAGCAGTTCTTGAAAATCATATTCTAATGTGCCTACATCGAACAAGATTAACGACTTTCGAATCCGGTGTCCCCATTTTGGTGAAATTCTACAATGGTAAATGATGTGTGATTATTATTTAAAACTTATCAAAACGTAGTTTATTTAATATAAAATATGATTTCCTATGTAATGTTTTATTAGCTGGGTGGAGTTTTTAAAGTGTGGGATTGTGAATAAAGAAAAGTCGTTATCCACACTAGCCGACGTTTCGTCTATTGATATAAACTTCCTCCGAAAAACACAACTAAACTGACTAAGAGATTTAAAACAAAGTATTTCACACAAATTGCTTTTTAAAATAATTTATACACAAAAACAATTAAAACGAAAATGATGTTTGGAACATAGAAGAAATGAGATGAGACAAGATTTTCAATTAACACGGTACATGAATGAATCAAACAGAATGTTTGTTGCTATACAGGGTGCTCATTTTTCGAATCTCATAACTGGTAAAGTTTCTAGCTTTACAAAGCTCTTGGTTTCTCAAATACAAAATTACAAATTGGCAATGGTTTTTTCACTGGGCTTTAATTATCAATTTTAGATTATTTTGCGAGATTTGTGTGACAGGAAATATATCCAATCCAAAATATCGTTGTTGCGACATAGAATGTCAATTATTCATGAAGACATGTGTTTTTATTTCTGGACCACTTGAAAGATTCAAGCAGCTCTACCACTGATTTCAAGGAAAAATTGATATTTAATAGGCTCAGAGCCAAATTAGGCTCCATTATAAAAAGCTCGGTTAATTTTTTATCTCGTAAATCAAATCGACTACGATAATTTATATACCAAAATATATATCAAGGGTAATTTTACTTCGCTTGCAATGTTGAGCCGCTTCATTAACTCTAGCAGTAGAAACTTGACGATGGCCGACTTTTTCAAAATGTTTTTTAGGCAAAACGCAATCCTAAATTTTAAAAACAAAATCGATGACATTTGGACATACAAGTAAAAGGTGCCGGAAAAACCGAATTGACGAATATTTCATTTAAACCCTCACATAGTGGGTGAACCTTACGTCCAATTAAATGTAAGTATCAAAAACAAAAGGGCTGCCGACATAAAATATCAGAAATAACAAGCTCTATTTTTTAGAGGAAAATGAAAATGACGGAAAGCTGTGTCTCTCCAGGAAAGTTTTAAAACATTATTTCTGAACAGTCAAAATAACGTTCTGAAATGAATTAAAAATAGCATATTATTTTTAAATAAATGTAGTGACATAGTAAATGATGTTCTTATGTTAGCGAACGTCGCCGGGTGAATTTCATCTTTGAATATATTTAGTATTTTAATCACAAGTAGAATTATCTTGCGTAAATCTTATGTAGGTAATTTAGTTGCATTCAAATTACATAAAACAATGAATGCAGTAGTTGTTAATGTTGTTTTCAGTTCATACATGTTTCCCAGTTTTTTTCACCTAAATTCGTCCACCACCAAGATGACTCAAAACACCACATAATAAATTACCTTGACTAATATCCGAAATGTCCATAATAACATAATCGCAAAACATCTTGAAAAAATTGTGACGGACTCACTATTTTGCGTAATGCAAAGCAAAAGTTCAAAAAGTCCAAAAGTACTATCAATTTCAGCCTGAACACCAAAGTCTAAGGTATCAACAATTTCGAAAAAAGTGGTGTTTCTTTGGTTGTAGTTGTTAGTACCGGCGCGACACGATGTGTTATGGTACCTCGCGTGGTCCCTTTCGTGGATTCGTTGAAAATTTCGCTCGGTCATGTTGAATAAAACTAGTTATTTATTCGTCGTCAATGTAAAATTGCGTGTGTACCAATGGTGTACTTAATCGATGGCACTTACAAGGATAATTTGCAATTTGCGGGTGTTCTTACGGAGGGCTATTAGAGACATGATTCTGATCACCTGGTTTCTCTAATAAATTAGCAACTTTGCCTGAAATTCTTCAACCAGTAAAATATGGTCCAGAGGTCGGGGAGTTGTGAGTAAGTTGCCCGATGCCTAGCCTAGTCAGATGCATTAATACTCCAATGAGACATATTTTGATAAGACTTCGTATCTGTTACTGAGTCACATTAAAACCGACATAGAAGTGCGGTTTTCCAAATAAATGATTTACAAATGAGATTAATGCATGTTTTTATCATAACCTGAAAAGTAATATAACAGAGGGTCAACCATGCAAGTCCAAGGATTAGTTATCAAGATAAAAAATTATTAGAAACATTTTTAGAGATGGCATCAATATGTACTCGAGGCTTATTAGTCGCGCTAGTTACAACAACATTCGTTTCATTGTATAATTGAGATTAGAGATTATAGCGCAATTTATAAGACAAGCAAGACAAGCCACCTGCAACTTAAAACGTTGAGTAACTTGGAAGCATCCTATAAGTTAATTGACCTCTTTTATATTAAGTATTTTTATTAATGTTTTACATATTCACTGTCATTTTTATATATTTTTGAGCAATTATTGTACCTCCGTTTTGGGGCCATACTTGGGACATTTCTCGTATAAAAAGAAGCTCTAATTCACATATTCTGATCAAACGTATTGTAAAGCTCTGCGGGATTATCTCTTAAATATAAGATTACGAACTTTCAGCTTTCACTCCAATAGGTTTTTTTTAGTTCATCTTATCATTTTTTGATATAATGTCGCCGAAAAAGAACTATTAAATTACTTAAGACAAGACATATAGGCTGTCTGCATAAATCGAACAAAAATATTATCTTCAACACTATCAGACATCCCAAAAACACCATGCCGTTGATAAAAAAGAAACAAATCAGTAGTTACAGTTTTCGTCTAGCAGATATGGGAAATTAATTCCTCACCACCAAGATAAGGATATAAAGGGTATGCCGTAAGCACATGATCGAAAGGGTACCTACTGCAACATTATTTGGCTCAAAAGGAGACGATCGGACCTAACTTTTATTAAGAAAAAAGGACTGGCTCCTCAGCTATTGATGGTGAAAGTTTCGTGAAAATAACGTTCTTTTAAATATCGGGAGAATGATCCCTACAATGGATTTTGATAAAACTCGCTGTTGATTTGTTCTTATGGAAGACTCATATTTTGATGAAGCAACGAAGTTTATGCGCTTTGGACAAGTGGTAAATTCTTGAGTGTCTTCGTACAAAAACTACCAGAGCCTTTTATTTGACGGCTGGGAATCAATAGATTTTTCTGAGTTATGCAATAATTTTTTGACGTTTTTAAGCTTTGTAGTCTTGTAGCGTTCATAGTTTTTACGGAAAAAATTTCTATTCTCCTGCCAATTGACAATTTTAAACATTCATTAATCCTTTTTACTAACAAAATTTAAGTTAGGTTTTTTATAACATCAGGAAAGTACGCCGATTAATTTAACGCTTGACAATTAATTAATTATAAAAGAACATTATTGCTTACTACGACATTTGCAGTTAATATACGTGTATAATGTTGGTATTGTTAAATAGCACTAAAACAGAAATATTTTTTGGTGGAAAAACTGATTGCTGCATGATTTTACGAAGAGCTCAAAAATGTCAAAAAATTATTAGTGCATCAACTCAAAACCCAAATGTGCTGATTCCAGCGACAAAATAAAAAGTTGTGGTAGTTTTAGCACCAAGACACTCAAGAATTGACCGCTTGCTCGAAGCGGATGAAATCGATTGATCTTATATAAAAAAAAATTACAGTGAGCTTCATTAAAATCCATCGTATATTTCCCGACATTTTCGGAAACATTTTTTAAAGAACTTTTACCATTAATAGCAGAGAAACCAGAGAAAAGTTAGTTCAGGTCGTCTTCTTTTGAGCCAAAGAATATCAAACTGTCCATTCGATCATCATCATGACCATATCCTTGGTCATATGCTTACGGGATACTCTGCATATTACAGATTACTGGAAATAGAGTTTTAGACAACTACCTCCGATAATACAGGTAAATGGATGTAATTAACATTTGCACAGTAATATAAAAGACTTTCTAGGCTTTAATAATTATTATCGCAGTGTCCTTGCCGTTCAAATTAAAAATAACGAAAATCTTGTTGTCAAGCCAAATACTTAAAATTGAATCGCTTATCGCAATTTGAATTCTATCTCTATTTGAAAGTGAATCAATTTTCCACTTGCCAATTGCTATACAAAAACAATAAACTCGGCTAATTATATAGTCACTAATAAGACCAAATAGGAGTATCAAAATTGCTTCAATTATTACTAAAGTAAATGGTGTAATTAAACATAGTTGACCCGTCTAGTGTTTATATATGCATTTAATATACTTGCACAGTTATCTATTAAGATTGAGAGTCACAAAATGTCATCAACGTGTGTACGACTGATGCTTACTTCGCAAGGGGTTTCAAGAATGCATTTTTTTTGCTTGATTGCTGTAAATCTACAAATCTCTTCTGCCTGTTTCGACAACGTTTGCTACTTCTCTCATAGGTCCATATATCCGAGATAAATCGAACTGAGCATGGAGCAAAAAGAACGTTTTACTCTGACAGAAATAAGAAACACGAAAAAGAATGAATTTTGCAGAAAAGTCTTTGAATTAACTATTTGTTGAATCTTAAAAAACCACTATCGTAGAAAATGATGTTCATTTGCCTTTAGATACAACATACAAGATAATGTAATTGATGGTTGGTAACATTAATTAACCAGGCTCAAGGCCAGAATGTCCATATATTACTCAAACCCTACTTATTTAATTATCAGGTGCAGGTGAAAAAATTCCAGGTAATAAGTACACGTGCTGACTATAAGTGTAACAAAGTAGCATCTTTTAGAGATTATAAAGCAGCTGAATAATGAGTTGTGGGGTAAAATTTACAAATCCTCATTCTCAAAAATCTCAAATCAATCTCAAAACTCCTAGAGAAAACTTACCGAGAAAATTGAATCCCAGATAGGCACAATCATCCAGATGAATCGTACTACTCAAAAGGTAATCGGTTCCATCCAGTTCTCCGTCTGAAATAGTGCTCAATTCTCCAGGACTCAGAGAATAAAAGGACGAAGGCATTTTGGAAAGTCTATAATTTGCCTGCAACCGACACGAAATAGGCGAGTTCTACTTGAACCAACGAGTCGGATTGTGCACTTAAGTAGCCGGTAAAAGAAATTGAAAAAATTGTCCGTCACTAGATAAATTAGATACAACTAAATAACATCCTTGTTGCTGATAACGCTCGTTTTCTAGTTCAGTGTATCCGAGTTGGTTACCTTTATAATAATACAAATGGAATTGATAAAAGGCTCTTTCCAACGAAATGCTCCAATCGACACTGAAAGTAATAACATATTTAGAAGAAAGCTTGTAATTAAAATTAAAGTTATTCAGAAGTCATGGAGGGGATTCTGTGTTTACGTAAGATTTATCACTGAGTGATAAATCCAAATTATATTTACAAGTTAAATGGAGAAATTGATGCCATATTTTTATGGTGCACGGTGAAATTTGTTACATTAGGTCGATACTTGTTTTGGTGCAAATATCTGCACCTAACAGTGTTACACAATGAGGGGTTCATTCCAATCAAGGTTGGCAAGTGGTATAATGAGCATTATCGGCTAATTCAAACCACACATTTTTTATATTTATTATTAAATTGCTCTGAATAAAATTATTTATGTACGAATAATAATCTTAGTTGATCGGCTCCTAAGTAAATATTTATTACATGATAATAATTTAGCCGAGATAATAATCTAAGTTCTACTAGGGAGGACTTCCTTACGCCATTAAAAATGGTTAATATAACAAGCAATAAAACTTATGTAAATACATAAAGTTGTAATTGTTTTATATTTAATTAATGTTAGACTTAGAGACCAGATGCCATTTAGCACATTGATTCTCTCATCTTATGCTCCTTATATTAGTACTTTTATATCATTTGAACATAAACCGACTATCTCTTAAACGGTTCTTAAAAACATGTGAAAATAATTGTTATGCTGTTACGGAACTGGGCAAAAAAAAATTGGAGATTTTTTTAAGTTTATAATCTTCTAATATTGAGCGTATATTTTATTTTATATGATGCTATGCAAAATTCTACTCATAGAAAAACTACATATACTAAAATTTTGTTCTGGTTTGATTTTTCAACTTGGTGCCTTCACTTGAAAAACAAGACAGGCATTAGGACCTTAGGATCCTTTTAAGTCTATAGAGGGTAGCCTTAAGAAGTCATCATTTTCAACAGTGTCTAAAAAACATATCCAAATAAAAGACGCGATATATACTTGTTATCGCAATTCCGGAGGCATTTCTTTAATTGTTTAGATTGAAATATTCAACGCCTACGATGGTAAATATAATAATACATATATACAACATATCGTCAGCAAACATTTTCCCAGTCCTGCAGTATAATAAGAAATTTAAAAAAACTTTAGAAAGAGAATAAAAACTGCTTTAAAAATGTATTGAAGAATTCTAGTTAACTCTTTAAAGGCAACTCGATCACTAATTTATTTTATATTAAAAACTCACTGTCGGTACTACACATAGATGGTAAATCTATAAATCCACTCAAAACAATATAAACTATTTTGTTTCAAGGACCAAAAAATACTTAAATGCCATTAAACCTAAATAATTAAAAAACAACCCACATTTATATAGTATTATTATACATTTCGGCGCTCATCAGCAAGATTGTGATTCACCCTATACATTTACTGCATTGCGCCAGATCTTAATTTATCTCGAAACTGTTTTCAATAATTTGAAAAGTCTTAGCTGCTGATAGTGTTTATGTATATTGAAAGATATTTTTAAGGTAACTTATCGGTTTCAACCCACTTGATAGCATGGATCAAATTGACCTAAAAATCCTAATTTTGGAATAAACACTAAATTATTAAATTTTAAATGAAATGTTTACTGATGCCAAATTAGCAAACAGATTCCTTATATACGCAAAATATCCACAGTGGCGCCTCGACTACGTTTTTTTCTAGAATAGCGGAATTTAATGATCACTAAATACGATAATCTCAAGAAATAGTAGCGAACAATTATCAAGTGAAAAACTTGGAATTCACCGCCAAACCCTTTTTGTTTGCATTTTTTTCCTATATTAAGCCAGTAGATATTTAAAAACAATATATCTTCAATGTGGAATCAACTTAAAATTTCAACATTCTCATTCAAATAGAATCAGAGCACGAGCAACGACTTGAAAGAGGCTTTTGGGATGTTACGTGTAATATTTCAATATAAAGCATTCGGACCGACATTAGGAAAAACATACAAAATAAAACTACTCTGGCGTCCATAACATTGAAAAGAAAATACAGACCGAATAGATCAGTTCACCTTGGCATGTACTATATTAGATAATTCCTAGAAAAATTAGTGATTTAATTTCGAATTCAGATAACATTTTTCACTTTTATCCCTTATCGTTACCATTCGTGGCCTTTAAGATATGCTAATGCTTAACGAGCTTTTGCTGGCGGTTCCGACGAGTTAATCATACTTTTTCCATAATTCTTAATGCAAAACTTTGATAAATACACATTTGGAAATTTCACAAGACAAGAGCTTTTGCAAATATTCTGTTATATATTAATTAATGAGAGATCAGCTGCCTCCGGTATTTTTCAGGCGAATGCTTTGAATGGAAGATAAGTAAAATACATCCTGCAGTTTGTTGCTGATTTAAAATAACGGGTGGCTTTTACGCACTAAAGTGTTACATTAGTGGATCTCTATAAAGACTGAATCCAATAAACCCCATTGGGACACGGTAATAACAATTTTATTTGTGGAGTGGATAAGAGTACCTAAGTGTAGCCTAGATATTTGCATAATTTGTTTACCGGCGCCCATCAAAATTGCCTCCAGGGTTTTATATTAAAATATTATTATTTGGGGTCGCAAATTAGCATTTGCTAGGAACATTTAAAACATTTAAAACAATTACATTATCTACAAAATAAGCGTATTTCTTGTAATCCAGTGCTCCGTAATATTAACAAGTAACTTTTTTTTATTAAAACTTTATCACCCTATAGCTCGGAAACTAAGCGTTTTGGGAACACGGTATATTAAGGAAATACAGTAATGTCCGCTTATAATGAACCCGGTTATAGTGAACTTTCGGTTAAATCGAACTTTTTTCCTTTAATTGAAACGTCGTCCACAAAGACCAACGTATTTTTTTACTGGTTATAACGTACTTCCGGAAATAACGATCACTTTTTAGGATAGTTGTATATTCACTTTCCGTTTATAACGAACTTCCACGCTCAGCAACA